CCGCAGCGAACTACACTGTATGTCTGTTACAATCAAGTCTCTTGTATTTAGACACCAATAGAGCAAAACGCTTATTGTTCATCTATGAAGTGGCATGAATTGGCTTTTCATGACTATCGGCGTCAGTCGGGTGGTAGCCTGCTTCCACGCCCGAGGCTAGCGGGATCCCGGTAAATCAACCGAGTAACTCATTGGCTACTTCTTCGGAGGTCTACGGACAATAAAATCCGATCACTTCATTCCGCGCAAACTTTCTCTTCTCCTCTGCGCTCTCAAGTTTACATGACATTCTCCGGCTAGTGTGACCTTGAACATTACAACTTTCACGCACGGTAAGTGGTTCTTCAACCTCGGAAATTCTCTGGAAAACCCTCATCTCCTGATTTGCAACATGTTTCGTCTCACCTTCCAATGCAATGGCAGCCGCAGGACTCTGTTTCTCTGAGCTCTTGTCTTTCGCGCCGGGACCCTTGCGAGAAATTCTAGTTATCACGTAAGCTCTTACGGATAACGCACCAACGATTCTCCTTGTTTAAAACTGATCAGAGTCGAGTCGGATAGATTTCAATATTAGTACACAACGCCGACAAGAGCCACATTAGCGTTTATTGGCAACAATCGACCAGCAGAGCTTCAAACTTAGCTAACTAAACGAAAAGATAGAAAACAGTTGTTCGAATGTTATCACAAGAATGCTGAGTTGTGGGCAAAAGTCGTGCCCCAGGCGGGAGTCGAACCCGCACCTCACGCTTTCCGGGCGAGTGCGCTATCCGTTACGCCACCAGGGCCGCTTTTACCCTCTCAGCTTAACGGCTTTTATGCCGTAGCCTATCAGCACTCACACGTTTAACTTGGTGAGCCGGTCAGCCGTAATCGATGGGATATCGGCATGAAACCGCGAGGCCTAAGGCTTTAGATGTTTTTGAAGCTGTTTTGTTATGATAACTGCTGTTTAACGCCGCAGTACGCGTTCCGAATGTTATCACAAGAATGCTGAGTTGTGGGCAAAAGTCGTGCCCCAGGCGGGAGTCGAACCCGCACCTCACGCTTTCCGGGCGAGTGCGCTATCCGTTAGTTGTTTAAGTATTCTTTCATTTTATAAATTTTTTTTTTAGAAACACCGCACTACCCTTTTTCCCCTGTACGTGCTCAGCTGGACCTGAGCATGTGCATGTGAAGGAAGTAGAGGGGGGGCTACGGTGAAGGGGACGGGGAGCGCAGCGCACAGAGGGCTGAGTAGGATAATAGCTGAAGAGACGGACAGCAGATGACCGCTAGCAAACCGCGAGGTAATCCAGAATCGAGTAAATTAACATGTTGTTCTGACTGTGATAATACCCTCACCCTATACAAAGACAACAATTTAGTACACCCCAAGCCACTGCACAACTGCTGCTCGCGTGGCAGCTGGACGTGAGTTCGCGCGTGGGTTGCTCCATCTATTACGACTCGATCAAATTATGGGTATGGGGGGAGTATGTAGTTTGCCTGAAACAGGAAACTCCGGAACAGAAAACCTGAATAATGCTTCGCTTCATGCGTTCAACAGCCCTTTTTACTTTTTTTTATTTTTTTACTTTTGACCATTCAATTACAGATGAGAACGAATAACAAGGGAGTGTAGTACCTACTAATAATAATACTTTAGGGAGCGGACCGCATGCTAATTGAAAAGGGGAACATTCATCGGTAGGCATTTCGGTGCAGGTGATGTAAACGAAATCTGTTCTTCTACTGAGTGATTCACATTGCGCTGTATTTTCCGACTACACATTGTATGCTAAGTAGTGCAGGATCCTAAGCCTTGCTCTATCTGTTACGATTCGATTCCTACAGCGCCGTATGAGCAGCCCACTATTAAAAAGGCTCCGTTAAAATTATGGAGCGCGCCTGGCGAAGCCAGGCCAGCTCGGCGAAGCCGAGCTAAAGAGAAGGAGGAGAGCTCGGCGTTAGCCGGGCGATCCGACTGATGTAAAGCCGCACAAAATAACTGTAAGGGGAAGTAATCAAGAGCCAGCAGTCCTTCTATTCATTCGATCGCCTGCAGTGGGGGCGCGCGGTCGGCTCTGGAAAGTGCTATTCTCATCTGTGATCATATTACACATTCGCTGCTATTTCGCTATATCAGGCTGCTACTCCGGCTTTACTTTTTACCACTAGTATTTCTATCTATTTCACGCCGATAATCTCGCTGAGTACTAGATATTTTGAGCTTCGTCGGTCCAGACTGACTCATTTGCTGTTCGCCGTATATTCAACGCTTCACTGCCTATCAGACACTAGCATCTACAGGAGTTGAGCGAGCACCCTGGTGGCGAGGATCTAAACCTGTGAATTCAACGTCACTGGTTTCGGTCAGTGAAATCTGTCGTTCTTCAAGATCAGCCATTGATTGCGTTTTGCCGTTTCATTTGTTGGTCATTTCATCCTTTTCTGTTGATCAATGGAAACTCCTCTTGGGCGTCATTCTGTTAAGGATCGACGGGTGAAAAGAAGGCCCCCATTATCGACGCCAGTGATGACGGTGGATCAACATTAGTCGACGCTATTGGTCTTTTGAACTCTGACGCTGATATTCCGCCTCACCCTAAAAACCATCTTAGGTCATCTTTTGGAAAGAGCCGCTGAAACAGATGAACTTAGGCAAAAGAATAGCTTACTAGAGAAACGTCTAGAGTCTGAAATAGCTGAGAACTCTCGTCTTAAGATGGAAATCAATTCTCTCAAGGAAGCCTTGGCTAAAAGTAAAGAGGCATGCTCGGGAGAGCTGATTTTGTCTAATACCTCTAATTACAAACCTAAGCATGATTGTTGTGAGCACTCTGAGATGAATAGGCTATTGTTATTCATGGCATCGCGGAGTTTGATAGTTCAGATTGTACCGCAACGAATTTCACATCTGTTCGATTGTATCAAGAAGATTTTCCACTTCCTTGATATAGAATGTGCTCCAGTCACATTTTATAGAATGGGAAAGCTCACCTCTCGTAATCCTGGACTTGTTAAAGTTGTATTACCTAGTTCTCTCTTTCAAAGGCAGATCCTCAGACGGGCGTCTCGTTTGCGGAACTTTCCGGTTAGGGGGATTTACATTAGACCATCCCTCCCTTTGGCAGAGAGAATTCGCCTCAGTGAACTGAGAAAGCTCAGGACGGGCACTTCATGGTGTCGTCCGTGAGCGCAAGCATGATGTCCAACCCACTTTTGTTCCTAATTCCAATATTCACGTTACGGACGCTGTACTTAATGTTACTGACTCTTCGAAAAATAGTGCCATGATTCGTTCCTCTATGAACTCTTCTGATGTAGCTATTCGTTCTATGTCTAGCATTAGTTCCATCTACCAATGTGCAACCACTGGGAAACGCATAACCGCTCCTCGGCCTGCGGGTAGCAAGATAAATTTTTTCCTGAGTAATGTCCGATCTTTAAATCGTAATGCATCTTCTCTTGCATACACAATCTCTGCATACACAATCTCTGCACACAACTCGGATGTTGTCGCCCTGACCGAAACGTGGTTAAAACCGAATAGGAAACTTGAACCGTTATTAGGGGAAGTTTGTGCAACATATGAGAATTTTAGGTGTGACAGAGTCAGATTTAAGGGGGGAGGAGTCGCATTCTTGATCAGGAAGGTCTTACTCCCAGTCCTTGTTTTTCAGGAAAGCGTGCCTAAGGCCTATGAGATCCTCGCCTGTGATCTTAATTCGAGTGATGAATCTATCAGACTTATTCTTGTGTACAGAACGCCGAGCTGCAAATCCGAGCATAGTTATCAGTTGAGTAGGTGTATAAGCGATCTCGCTTCTAGCGACTGCATTTGTCTACTAATGGGTGACTTCAATTACCCAGACATTGACTGGAGCGGCAACTGTTCTCAGGCGGCGTCTTGTTCTAACTCTTTTGTGGATATGATCAATAGTCACAAATTCCCTCAGTTGGTGGACTTCAAGACCAGGGGTGACCACACCCTTGACCTTTTATTCTGCAACAATCCCGATATATAGCCAGTCTCCATGCTACAGCTCCGGTTGGGTCTAGCGACCATGCTTCGATAGTTTTTAGTCTCCTCAGTTCTTTTGTAGACGAAGAGTTTACTTGGAAGTATAACTACAGCAAAGCTAATTATGAGCGCATCAATGAGTACCTTAGTTCTATTGACTGGATAGGATCCTTTCTAAGTTGTGGAAATGTGGAGGAAATGTACAACACATTTCTTTCATCTTAAAGCACTCGGTGGCTCTGTTTGTTCCATTACAGAAAGTTTCGCTTTATTGCCCGCACTTACCTGCCTATCTGTCTTCCATAAACAATGAAAAAATCAATACTTACAAAAAAGCTGTTTTTGCTAAGCAAGACTGGCAAGCCCACAGACTAGCAAGCAGTAAATTCGAAAAGAAATGTTGAAGTACAACGTTTCAGTAGAGAAAAAAGTCATGGAAGTAAAAAGCAAGAAGGCTTTCTATAAATTTCTGAATTTCCGCATCAACCGTAAAGAGGGGGTTAGTGCTTTGAAGGCTAACGATGGCACAGTTGCGGTCTCTGATTCCAGCAAAGCTGAAATATTGGCAGAGTTTGAAAAAGTTGATGTCAGCATTGTGCTACTCAATCTGTTGGGTCTTTCTACGATAGCATTACACCTATGGATGATTCCGTTTCGTTTACTCGCTATACAATTCTGGAGCAAATCAGCAAGTGGTCTAGTGGCTCCTCATATACCCCCGATGGAATCCCTTTTGTCTTCGTCAAAAAAACTGCTGCTAGTATATCAACTCCACTGGAATTTCTGTATAACTTGATGTTTTTTCATGCAGTGGTTCCTCGATGCTGGCGTCACGCCTATGTAGTCCCTATCAGGAAAAAAGCCCCGTTTAGTGATCCGAATAATTATCGACCTGTCAGTATCACCTCAATATTTTGCAGGTTGTTTGAAAAAATCCTCAAAAGAGTTATTGTCCATCATCTAGAGACCAAGCAAATTCTGTCCAGACATCAGCATGGCTTTAGAGAGAAGAGGTCGACGGTTAACACTCATGTTAGAAGCGCTAAATGACTGGACAGCTGTACTGGATGGTAAAAATAACCTTGATGTCGTCTTATTTTGATTTTCAAAAAGCTTTCGACAAAGTTAACCATACTATTTTGCTCCAAAAACTTGGGCAGGTGGGCATTCACGATAGAATCATCAGTTGGATTAAAAGAGTTTTTGAGTGAGCGAACTTTCCAAGTTAGAGTTGGTACTTCACTGTCAAAAGTTCGAAATGCCCCAAGTGGAGTTCCCCAAGGCAGCGTCCTATCCCTGTATTATTTAATATTACACTTTCGATCTGCCGCGTTTAGTGGTGAAGTTAGGTGTTCAGCTTAAAATGTTTGCCGATGACTTAAAGGTCTATTATCCAGTCAGTGGAGCAGCTTCTCCCCAACTCCAGCATGCAATAGATACTGTGGTGCGGTGGTCCTCCGATAACATGCTTCCTTTGAATATCAGTAAGACCAAAGTCTTTCATTTAGGACAATCTAATCCACGCGCGCAGTACCTAATTGATAGCTTTATCCTAGATACGACAAATCAATAAAGGACTTGGGCTTTCTTGTCGATTCAGAATTGAATTTTGAGGAGCACTTGAAAATGTAGTAAGTAAGGCGGAACAGAGAGTGTTTTTGCTATTTAGATCATTCAAGTCTAAGGATCCCGCGTTGCTCATGAAAGCCTATAAAATTTATGTGCGTTCAATTCTCGAGTACGGCACAAACATTTACTTTCCGCGTAAAAAGGTATTCATTGACAAATTGGAGAGGATACAGAATGGCTTCACTAGGAAACTATTCATCAGGGTCTTGGGATTCACTTATACGAGGCGAGCATTCCCCGCGGTTTAAGATGTAGAAGAACAGAAAGATTATTTGAGATCGGGGGGAGATCGCTCGTTGCGATGTGGAGGAGGTGTGGAGGAGAAGAAGAGCGGAGTGAGTGCGCTGCGGGATGGTTTATAAGTAGTTGCGTAGGAGAGGATGGAAGGGGCGGAGTCGAGTTGATCTCCAACTCCTTCTGTGATTGTCCGTCCAGAACTAGAGAGGAGAAGCGTTGTGTTAAACTTTTTCAGTCTTCGCAACCTCCGTCTCTCGTTGCGCGCCATCCTTTACGTTTCGGCAGGAATGGAGTATTAAGATGATTCAATAGTTATTACAATACCTGGGGGGGGCGGGGGGGGGCGGGGGGTGAGCGGGCGTGATGTCGAGAGCGGAGTGGCGGAGGGATGAGGAAGTGCGTGTGGGTGTGTGCGTGCAGCGTGTGCGCAGGGGCGGAGTCGGCGGTGTGTGGCGTGTGGGCGACGGAGTGTGTGAGTGTGTGTGTGATGTGAGTGTGTGTTGGTCTTATTGCTTATTTACTTGTGTTGCGGGGGTGTTGGCGACCAGTTTGGTTGATCGGTTTACCATGTTTGCCAGAACATGTAATGAAGGTTGAAAGTTTGAAGAGTGTATTCTACAAAGGCACTGACTTGTGTGTGTGCGGCTTGTCGCGGTGTATGCATATTATGTCCAGTGCCCGTTGAGCCCCGTTACCCTCAAAGTGGTATGGATGGGTGTAGAACTCACTCAGATGTTATGGCGTTCCCGTTGTGTTGCGCGGAACAGGCGCACGCCTGGAGTGAGGGGCGGTAGAAAGCGGGGCGCTCTGCGGGCTGAACAAGTTTACCGACACCCGGCAGTGGGTACTATCGCCAGGTTAGTGGCGGTGGAGGGGGTGGCGGCCGGGGGGTGGGGGGGGGTAGGGCAGAGGGTCGGCAGGCCGACCAGACGATGCAGGGATGAGGGTGAGGAGGTTCGAGAAGAGAGTCGCGACGGGGACGGCGGCTGCGTGTGGCCGCGCGGCGCTGGTCGCGTGGCAGTAGAGCAGAAGAGGCAGGAGTGGGGGAGATCTGGACTGAGAAGGGCGAGGACTGGGGGGCCGGGGCACCAAGACAGGTGGTACCTAAACAGTTGAACAGGAGTACAGACAGGCGTCGAGGTCTCGTTGAGAGCGGAGCGTGGGAGTGTGAGGTCGAGTCAGCTGAGGCGTGAGTGTGAGGAGAGAGGGGGGCAGGGTGGCGGGGGGTTGTGCGAGGGGGGTTGGGAGCGGTAGGCATGTGTGCCGGAGGAGGAGGAAGCGTTAAGATACGAACGCGGGAGGGAAGGAGTGGAAATGCGCACAGCCGGACATGAAGCTGGATGCGTGTAGGGAGCGTGGGCCTCAAAAAACGGGGAAAAGTCGGAGGAGTCGGATTCATTGTATCGCCACGTCTCACTGCAAGGATTGCCTATTGCGAAGTAGTGTCTGAAAGAATTGCGATTCTAATGCTCGAACTAGGCAAAAAGAAGACGATGAAAATACTGTCGGTCTATGCCCCCACCTGGTGCATATGAAGATGAAGCCGTGGAAGAGTTCTACGACACACTCGAAAATGCAATTGCCACTACTCCAAAAGGAACATATGTGATATGCGCTGGAGACTTCAATGCCCACTTAGGATGCGGAGAACCTGATGAATCCTATATAGGGCCATACGGAATACCAGGAAGAAACAACAGAGGAGAGGCTTTAGCACAATTCACCGAACGGAGTCGATTATCAGTGGCAAACTCATATTTCCAAAAGCGTGTAGGACGTCGCTGGACATACCATACCCCGAACAGGCAGATGTTCCACGAAATCGACTTCTTTTAACCAACTGCTTGCGCCTCTTTCACAATGTTACAGTGATCGGAGAATCGCATTTTAATATTGGATCGGACCACCGTTTAGTTCGAGCTACAGTAGCAATGAAGCTTAGAGAAGAAAGGAGACGATTAGCTGCATACCATTCGCGACGTACTCAATATGTGCTCTCTGAAGAACGACTAAAAGCGCTCGCTTCCACGACAAACTTTTCTTCAGAACAGGGAAATGTCCACAGCAGATACGAAAAGTTGATTTCTACTATTCGGGATGTAGTTAAAAATGCTTCAGAGCGCGTTCGAAGCAGACCTCGGGAACGATTAAGTGTTACTACACTGCAAATGTTGGCCACTCGGAAGGAATTGGGAAAAACTATGACTCCTGTGGCTAGAACTATATTAAACAAGGCTATACGCTATAGAGTGAGGAAAGAATATCGTGAATACGCGGGACGTAAAGCAAGAGAAGCAGCTGAAAAATGCACGAGCATCAAAAGAACATTCATCAACACTCGACTCAAAACCATTACCCCTGAATATCTCACAAAAGAAGATGGCTCTGTTGTCAGGAATCAAAAAGGAATGGAAGGAGAAATTCGAAACTTTTTCCAAGACCTCTTCTCCACAAAAGTGCTGGTGCAACCTAACATGATATTTTGTGAGAATGATGATGATACACTTGCAAGAGATGAATGGAAAGTACTTGAAACGGAAGTTTTGAAGGCTATTCAACAGATGAAAGGGAGGAAGAGCGCCTGGACCAGATCGAATTCTGGCAGAACACCTGAAATGTCTGAAGGAGTTCATTGCCCGCCCTTTGGCAGACATTTTCACGGAAATGCTGGCGTCGGGAATTGTACCAAAGGAATGGCTGGGCTCGAATACCATTTTGATCCACAAAAAAGGACCGCGTGATATACTGGCCAACTACCGTCCTATAGCGCTCCTGTCCACAATACTCAAAATCTTCTCACGTATCATCCTCAACCGCATAAGTGGAACACTCAATATAAATACGAGAAGAGAACAAGCCGGATTTCGTGAAGGCTTTTCAACCATCGATCAGATACATGTGATTTCTCAACTTGCGGAAAAATGTCGAGAATACCGAATTCCGCTATGTTATCTTTCGTCGACTTCAAAAAGGCATTTGAATACGGTGTCGAACACCAAGCGGTACTAAACGCACTTGCCACGTTCGGAATTTCAAGAAGATATATTGAAATAATACGACAATGTAACACGAGCTGCTACACTGACATAAAATTGCTCAAAGAACCAGTTCGTGTAAAGATCCAACGTGGCGTACGGCAAGGCGAGGTCATCTCTCCAAAACTATTCTCTGCAGCTTTAGAACTTGTAATGCGGCAAATCGAGCTGCCTTGTGGCATTGAGATAGACGGCGAAAGACTTCAATACTTGATGTTTGCAGACGACATAGTCTTGATTGGAAGCGAACCGAGTGCACTCGAAAGCTCCCTGAATATTTTGAGCGAAGCCTCCCAATCCATTGGACTTGTAATACATCCAGGAAAAACCAAATGGATGAAAAACAACTACACCAATGACTATCGTTTATGCATGAAAGGATCAGTCATTGAAGAAGTCTCATCGTCACCTATCTTGGCCAAGCAATAACGATGGATAATGATCTTACAGGAGAAATCAGCCGGCGTCGAAAGGCGGGATGGGCCACATTTAACAAATACCGAGATGTTCTCACCGATAGACGGATTGAAACTCAAATAAGATCTCAGGTGTTCAACACCCATGTTCTACCAGCACTGGTATATGGAAGTGAGACATGGAGCACAATCAAAGATGAGGAGAGAAGACTAGCTGCTACGCAAAGGGCAATGGAGCGAGCAATGTGTCGAGTAACACTAATGCACAAGATCCCTGCTCGCGAAATCCGAAGACGGACGGGTGTAAAAGATGTTATCGAAACCATTTATGACTCGAAAAAGAGATGGGCTGGACACGTAGCTCGTCTTGACGATAACCGATGGACATATCGCGTAACCAACTGGTATCCCCGTGGTGTAAAAAGGCCGCAAGGAAGACCCCCAGCCAGGTGGAGTGATCCTTTTAAGAAACTATATGGGCAGAGATGGCAAGAAATCGTAACGAATGGCATAGATGTGTCCTGCAAGGATGGCGCAACCAACCTTGAAGAGCGGACATCAAGGTATTCAAGGTATGTACATATGTATGTACAGTCCTCATCATTACGTACTGTCGGGGCGGCACAGCCGCGCTGCACTGTGACGCGACAGCGGCTGCGGCTCGGTGACGGTGAATCAGCTGATTTCGATGGAATTCGGCTGCAATTCCCACTTTTTCAGCTCTTCAAGCTTCTAAAGTGGAAGGTGAGTTATTCTGAACAATTTTGAATTGTACTGGCTCTGATTTCCTTTATTTTTATGTCGATTATTATGCTCTTTTCCCTTATTTTTCCTTATTTCAGGTATTTATTCAAATGGCTCACTTCTCTCAGATTCATTCAGAGTCAGTACAATTCTAACTTGATCAGAATTACTCACCTTCCACTTTAGAAGCTTGAATAGCTGAAAAAGTGGGAATTTGCAGCCGAATTCCCAAATCAGCTGATTCACCGTCACCGAGCCGCAGCCGCTGTCGCGTCACAGTGCAGCGCGGCTGTGCCGCCCCGACAGTACGTAATGATGAGGACTGTATGTATGTATGTGTGTATGTAAGTATGTATGTTTGTATGTCTGTCCGTCCGCAAAATGCTTCACGGGATTGAACAGGTTAGTGAAAGAGAAAACGACCGCTAGACAAACCGGGAACCCGATCGGTGCAGATGTATCAATCCAATGTTTTGATTGTGATAACAGCATATATAAGACAACCATTCGGTACGCTCCGAGCCATTGCACGAGCTGCTCGGGTGGCAGCTGGACGTGTGCTCGTGCGGGGCAGGGGCGGGGGTGGGATGGAGGGGTTCTCCCCTCTGCCTTCTTCCCCTGCACGTGCTCAGCTGGACCAGCACGTGCAGGGTAGGGGAACAAGGGGAAGATGTTGGGTGAAGGGGGTACGATGAGGGGGTGCGTAGCGCACGTTTGGAGCACACAGCAAGGAGGAGGATACAACCGCCAGCAAAACTGCAAACTAATCTATTACGATTCGATCAGAGCAGCGCAGTATGAGTAGCTAAGTGAATGAACAAATTCCGCATCCATTATGAAGTGCGCCTGGCGAGGCCAAGCCAGCTAAAGAGAAGGAGGAGAGCTCGGTATCAGCCGGGCAATCTGACTGGTAATAGATAAAATGACTGAGTCATAAAAACGAACCAAGAATATATCATACAACACAAGCTGGTCGCAATCTCCGCGACACTCCTTGAAGGGAGAAATGAGCTCACGTCCTCAGGAGTCTACCATCGAGGGAGAACTCGGCACTGAGGCGGTCACTGACG